AGGCAGTCCAACCCCAGAATCTACTCTATGTTCCCTCTGCCTGAATGTGCTCTACCTCCCCATTTGTCTACCTGATGAAAGCCTACTCACCTGTCTGGTCTCCAGAAGCACCCCCATCTGGAATCTGCAGTGCTCTCTACCTCTAACTATGCCCCATTAGCAAAATTGCCCCCTCCCTTGTGCATCACCCCCCACCTTCACGGGTATCCCCAGATGTGTCCAGCTTCTGGGGGGCCCTCTCGTGGGGCCTTTCTGACTTAGTCCCTCACCCTCCCACAGGGAGAAGCGCTGGGTGACTGTGGGCGACACTTCCCTTCGAATCTTCAAGTGGGTGCCAGTGGTGGACCCCCAGGAGGAGGTGAGCGAGCTCCCCCACACCAGGCCCTGCATCTGTGGGACCTCAGGCAATCCTCTACCCACCCAGGCCTCCACCTCCAGGCCCCACTCTGAGTTCTCAAGTGCAGCAACTCAGACAGATGTTAAAAATTACTAGCAACTCCACCCCCTTCTCCCTTTTTGCTGCTTCATTCGGAACCCAGAGTTCAAGACCTAAGCCAGTGTGCCAACTTGTGACACCTCATGCAGGGAATTTTATTTCTCTGTGCCTCAGTTTCCTTATTTGTACAATGGGGACTTTGTAAACACTAAGTAGAACTCTGCCTCTGACCCTTACCCTTCTAACCCACAGGAGCGCCGGAGGGCAGGTGTCGGGGCAGAGAGATCCCGAGGCCGGGAGCGGCGGGGCAGGGGTGCCAGTCCCAGAGTGGGTGGCCCTCTCATCCTGCTTGATCTCAATGGTATGTAGGGATCCTGGGATTTGGGAACTGTGGGGATTGAGGCAAGAGATTAGGGGCTTCCAGGTCCAACTATTTTGGCTTCTGCTTCCACAGATGATAACAGTAACCAGAGTTTCCATTCAGAAAGTTCCCTGCAAAAGGGCACTGAGCCCAGCCCTGGAGGCACTCCCCAGCCCAGCTGCCCTGTATCACCGGCTGGACCACCGGAAGGGGTCCCAGAGGATGCTCAGCCCCCACAACTGGGCCAGGAGAGAGGTAGGACCAGGAGCCCCCTCCTCTGAGTCTTGTCTTCTCCAAAGTTGAAACCATCAGCTTACCCCTGCACCTGCTTCCCATCCTGTGTTGCCTCCTCAGGGATGCCTTCCCTGACTCCTTTGGAAAGTCACCACACTACCTCTGGGGACTCTGTCTCATTCCTCTGGCTTCTTCTGGTCTGTAGATAAGTTATCACCATCTGAGATTTTCATGTACACTTAACTTTTTATTACTTAAGTTTCTCCCTCACTCCCACCTCATGTCAGCTTCTTGAACATTGGGCTCATATTGATCTTGTTCACTACTGTATCCTTCGAACAATGGGGGACATACAGTAGGCACTCAATAAATATTTGTGGAGGAGCAAATAGTGATACTCGTATAAGTGATTCATAACAAGTGATAATAACAGTAGTACTTATTGGGCTCCCACTGTGCCAGGTGCCCTTCTAAACATTGTGTATGTTTTATTTCATTTAATCCTCACGACAACCCTTTGAGCATTATGATCCCCATTTGTGGATAAGAAATTGAAACCCAGAGAAGTTAAGTAAGCTGCCCAAGCTCACACAGATGGTGAACCAGCACCCTGGGCCAGCACCTTGAATCCTCAGCTCCTCTTTCTTCCATATAGTTAATTCCCTGTTTGGTCAGAACCACCTTCCAAATGTGTCTACTTTCCTCTCCCTCCCCAGGTTCTGTCACCTCTCACCCACATCCAGCTCCAGCCTCCTCATGCATCTCCTCTCCTCCAGTTGCCTCCACACAACCGCCAGAACTTCTTTTAAAGCACGGTTTTGACAGGGTCATTTTTCTGCTTCAAAGACTTCAGTGGCTCCCTGTGGCCTGTGACTCCTCAGCATGGCACTCTGGCCCTTTGTGAACTATTCCCTGAAACCTCTTGTTCTCTTCCAAGAACAACATGACTTGGGCCTATGGGATGTCTAGATTGTGCCATGTACTTGTATACCTTTACTAATATAAAAACAATAATTGGCATTTATTGAGCTCTTACTATGTGCCAGACACTATGCTAAGGCCTTTACCTATATTCTCTCATTTAATCCTCATAGCAGTCTCATATGGTAATTACTATCATTATCCCTGTTTTACAGATGGGGAAACTGAGACCCAGAGAAATTAAGTCATTTGCCCAAGGTCTGGATTTGAACCCAGGCAGTCCAACCCCAGAATCTACTCTATGTTCCCTCTGCCTGAATGTGCTCTACCTCCCCATTTGTCTACCTGATGAAAGCCTACTCACCTGTC